ATTAAACTTATATTACGTATTAGTATAAAGAAATATTATAAGACTATAAGATAATATATAATCTATTAAAAATTATAAAACTCTTATATTTATTATTTAAGATAATATATCTTTTATAATAATATAATATTATTAATAGCGAGAATATCTTTAACTTTAATATTAAATTACGCGTTATTTTAACTTAAATAACTCTTACTATAGATATTATAGTAGAATTTTATAAGTTTAAAAAAGTTATACTTTATTAAAGTAAGACTATTATATTAAATTAAGCTTTTAAGATTATAAATTATAATAATTAATATTAAACTCGCGAATTTAGAATATTTATTACTCTTATAAAGTATATACTTCTAGAACTATTTTAATAGATTAATAGATAGCGAATAATTAATATTAATTAAATAATTAGTACTATTAATACTTTACTCTTTTTTAATATATATCTTATAATTTATATTAATAAAACTTTTTAGCTAATACTATTATATATAATAACTATAAACATTCTTAAGCGTAAATTAAATAATATTATTAATTTATTTATTTTATTTATTATTATTTAGATATATAATATTAAAATTAATTATTAGAAGATAAGAAAAGAAAATATAGATAGTAACTTTTAAGTTATCGTCGGCGATATTATAATTTAAGCGAAGTTATTTTATCTTATATAGTTTTAAATTATAAATAATTATCTATTAATTCTAAATAATTTATTATAGAAATAATAATTAAAATATAAAGTAAAATTTATATCGATAAATAGTTAGACTCGAAATATTAAATATTATATTATTAATATTCTAAAAGCGCTAAAATATAAGATCTTTCTCTTAAGTCTAGCGTAAAAAGTATTTCTTCGATCTATTAAAATTAATAATAATTAGATTTCTATTATTTATAAAAAGAGCTTTTTAATTAATAATCTTAAAATTATTTACTATTTTATTTTATTTTATAATCTTATTTTAATATAAAAAATATAGAGTATTATTAAAAAAGAACTTTATAAAAAAATATTAATTTTAATAATTAATTATTTCGTAAAGAAAAAGAATATCTTTAAAAATAATATTAAAATTACTCGCTATTTAATATTAATTAAATTTCGAGAGAAGATTTAATAATAATATATTATAAATATAGCGAGTCTTTTAACTAGTTTTAAGAATTTTTATAATATTATTATATAAATTAATAAAAAAAGTAATACTTTTAAATATAATTTTTAATCTTTTAAATTTATTTATAAAAGTTAAAAAATAATTATATCGCCTTAGTCTAAGGCTGAAATTATATATATTTTTTAATTTATAATTATATTTATTTAAATATTTCGAGAAGAGATTAATTATTAAAAGATTAGAAGTATTAAAATTAATAAGATTAAATTTAACTTCGCTTAATATTAAAAATCTCTTAAATTATAAAAAAAGAAAGAATTATATTAAAAAAAGTATATATAAAAAACTCTTAAATTAAAAAGAAAGAGAGAGTTATATTAAAAAAAGTATAAATAAGAAATTCTTAAATTAAAAAGAAAGAAAGAATTATAGAGAAAAAAGCGAAGATAAAGAATTCTTAAATTAAAAAAAAAGAGAGAATTATAAAGAAGAAAGCGAATTTAAGAATCTCTCTATAAATATATAAATATTTAATTATAACGATAAATATAAAGAACTTTATCGCTTAATTTTAATTATAAATATATATTTATAATTAGAATATTTATAATCTTAATAAGATTCTAAATAAATAAAATAATATAAGTTTATCTACTTAGTCTACGCGGTTTATTAAAATTTAAAAAAAATTCTTTAAATAATTATATTATTTTTATTTTAAGATTTAATTAAAAAATTAAATATAGTTAAGAGAGAAAATTATTATTATTATAATCTTATTTTAATTAAGATAATATTACTATTCTTCTCTAACTCTCTTAATAAATTAAAATTCTTTATAATATTAATAAGCTAATTATTTTTTATTTAAATTATCTCTTATTATTTAACTATAATTCTAAAGAGTAAAAAATTTATAAGATTTAAGAATTATAATAAAATAGTTATATCTACTTATAGAAATTAAATTTTATATTTAATTTAATATTTAACTCGAAATTTAATTATAGTCTCGCGAGCGAAAATATATTTTTCTTCTAAGATCTTTTTAAAATAAGTTATTATAATAAAGAAAAGAGAGTAGAGAAAGAAAGACTATACTTTTATAAGAGATAAAATTAGATTAAATATATAGTAAACGCGTAGTAAATATAAGTTAAAGATAAAATTCTATATTAAAATAATTAAGAATAAAATAAAAGAGAATTTATTTTTTATTTAAATAAATATTATTTATAGATAATAATAATTTATTAATAATATTTAATTAAATAAATTATATATAATAATAATAGCGTAAAATTAAATCTAATTAAATATATTATTTATAATAATAAATAATATTAATTTTTAAATAGAGTAAAGCTAAATTTAATTAAGTATATTATTTATAATAATATATAATATTAAAATATTTAACTTCGTATATTATAATAAATAAAAATTATTATTAAATAAAATATATTAAAATAAATATAATTTATAGATTTTAGCGTCGCGATTATAGATTATTAAAAGATTTTAAATAAAGTAATATATAAAGAAGAAAGTAAACTAGATAATTAAAAATTAAAAATATTATTAAATTTAATATATTCGCTTTTATAATCTTAGATCTTAATATTATTATAAAAAAACGTAAAATAATAAAATGAAATTTTTAAAGAATTTTTTTCTTTTCTTCTCTAAGTTCTACGTATTCGTCGCTATAACTCTAATCTCTTCGTTTATCTAATAATTAAACTTAGTAAATAGAATAATAATATTCTAATAAAGTTATTTTATAAATTATAGACTTTCTTAATAGAAGAAAGAGAGAATAATATATTATTTATTAGTTTAATTATCTATAATAGCTCTATTAATATAAATATTAATAATTACTTAATAGATATTAGCTTAAATAATCTTCTAATTTATCTTTAATTAATAAAGTTTATTATTTTTAATAGTTATATAGATATTATAGATGAAATATTATAATAGTTTATTATAATAGAGAAGACGATTAAACTTACTAAGATAACTTTATATTATATATTTATAAGAAATTAGTAATAAGTAAAATAGAAGAAATAAATAATATAGATTTATAATATAAGATAAGCGTTATTTATATAGAGCTATCTCGATTAATAATTTCTCTAATTTATAAAATAATTTTACTATTTCTACTTCGCTAGATAAGAAAACTCTTATTTAATATATTATCTATATAAGATATATTATTATATTATAATTATTTATTAAATAAGAAGATAAGAGAATAGTTACTAGTCGAAAAGATATAATATATTTTATAGAATATTTCATATTAAGTAATATTATATCGTACTCGGGTATAATATAAATAGAGTCGAATATTATTTCATTTTTCTAATATGAGTTCGAGATCTTAACGATATATTTCACGATATAGTATATCTATAATATTATATTATAAAATAATATATATATGAGATATCTCGTTAAGATTTCTATATTTAGAAGTATAAAGTAGCTATTTTAATTATTATTCTAGTTAACGACTAATTATATTTATTCTTATTTAATATACTACTATAGCTATTACTACTATAGCTATTACTATTATAACTACTACTATTATAGCTATTACTATTATAGCTATTACTATTATAGCTACTACTATTATAGCTATTACTTACTATTATAACTATTACTATTATAGCTACTATCGAAATATAGCTCTCGCGTATTTTAGTTATCGTATTCTTTAATTATCTAATTTTATACTATATTTAGAATCTAGTCTCTAAGAGATTTTAGAGAATTAATTCGTTTATTCTATATATTATATACTTAATATTTTAATAGCTACTACTACTATAGTTATTATTATTTAAATAGTCTATTATTATATAATAGCTATAATAGTAATAATTATAATAGTAATAGTTATAGTTAACTTAGTTATAATTAACTAGAATAATAACTAGAATAGCTACTTATACTTCTAAATATAGAAATCTTAGTAAGATATTTTATATATATATTATTTTATAATATAATATTATAAATATATTATATCGTAATATATTTCGCTAAGATTCTATATTATATTAGATATGAAATTATATAAATTTTAATAACTTATACTATATCAATATATATAAAAGAATAAGATAGGACTAAGCTTGAAAATCTTAAATTTATATGTGCATTTAATTATAAATTCGGATTCTATACGCTTTTTAGTTAGACCGACTAAGTTAGCTCGATAGCTCTTTCGTATCTTTCTTATCAAAAATTTATATATAGAAGTTTTATACTTTAAAGTACTCAGCTTGCGATACATACAGTTACTTCATAATTCCTCAAATTATAGAGCTCGCTTTACGCTTTCTAACGCTGTAAAAATTATAAAGTTTGGCCTACTATTAGTGGATTAAATGAATATTCAAATATGATAGTTATGGTAGTTACATTAGACGCGTCCGGAATCGGATAATAATTCTTCCACCTATTTGTGTAATTATTCTTCTTTCATTACTCTATTAATTCTATCAAATTCATTAATATGAATATAATCGTTCTCGGTATCCCTCGTCCAAAGGTTACTCAACGTCTAAGGCACGTATATCCCTTTTGCCCGCCTCTTATAGCCCCTACTGACGCCCTTAGGCCACCCCTTACTACCTCCCAAGACGCGTTTTCCTTCTCTATCCGTTCTTTATTACTCTGTTTATAGCCTCTCAACGCGTGTTAGATCCTGAACATCGTTAAAAAGAAGTTTCTAAAAATATGATAATTATATTAGACGCGTCCGGGATCGAATAATAATCCTTCCACCTATTTGTGTAATTATTCTTCTTCCACCATTCTACCAATTCTACCAATTCCACCAATATGAACACATTTACCCTCGGTACCCTCGCACTCAGTTAAACAAGAGGAGGATCTACAACAGGCGAATGCGGAGAACACTGCGGAGAACATTGCGGAGACAGTCATCAGCAGCAGTGACACAACAGGCCTACTCTCCACGATCTCACACCAATCCACTCAGCCAGTGCAAGAGAAGTCAATACAGCAGGCGAATGCGGAGAACACTGCGGAGAAACCAAGCGGCAACAAGGCCCCCAGCACCAAGAACACGGCTCAGCTCTCCAAGATCCCACGTTATATGCTCTCCACGGTTCCACATCAAATCATCACTCAGCAAGCGGAGAACACCACTGTAACTTGGCCATTTCATATCAAATCATCACTCAGCAAGCGGAGAACACCACTGTAACTTGGCCTGTCATCCCCACTGCATTGAGGAGTAAGAGGAGGAACTACAACAGGCAAATGCGGAGAACACTGCGGAGAAACCAAGCGGCAACAAGGCCCCCAGCACCAAGAACACGGCTCAGCTCTCCAAGATCCCACGTCATATACTCTCCACGGTTCCACATCAAATCATCACTCAGCAAGCGGAGAACACCACTGCAACTTAGCCTATCATCCCCACTACATTAAGGAGTAAGAGGAGGAACTACAACAGGCAAATGCGGAGAACACTGCGGAGAACACTATGGAGAACACTGCGGAGAAACCAAGCGGCAACAAGGCCCTCAGCACTAAGAACACGGCTTAGCTCTCCAAGATCCCACGTCAGATGCTCTCCACGGTTCCACATCAAATCATCACTTCGGAACGATGCATATTTGGACGAATTGAAACCGTCCGATATTTACAGCTATTTCCTTATTCGAAAAATTTCACTGCGGCAGAAGATATTATAAGATTCACACCACTAATTAGCACGTTATCTCCATTTCTTTTCGATATTTCGAAATTTTTGCCATAAGAATATAGCCTTTCTCTATTTTTTGTAGGCAATTATTACGGATCAATTCTATATACTATATAGATTAAATTAATTTTATAGTAGTAGAAGTAGGTCAAAAACGCATAGCAAGCGATTAGAGTTCGATTTAACTTAGAGCTAGAGCTAAAATTCGATTTAACTTAGAAAAATTTAACTTTATAAATTTAATTTATAGGTCTTTACTTATTAGAGTATAATATAATAGATTAATATTCTATATTATATTATATCTTTTCGACTAGTAATAATTACTTAATTATTATTATATAGATTATTACTTCTCTATCGAATATTTAAAAACTTAATAATTTAATATTATTTATAGATAATATTAATAGCTATTTATCTATAAATAATTAGATAAAAGTCTTAATTATCGAAAACTCTTATTACTCTTATTAGATATTTTTAATTAAAGAGATTAATAAATTTATATTAGTCTATTTAAATAGATAAATAATATATTTAAAAGTATTAATAATTAAAGCTCGTCTTAAGCTAAATAACTATTTTATTACTTTAGAAATTTAATAATATCTCTATAAAATTATAATTAGCGCTTATTATTATATTTTTATATTAATTATAAAAGAAATTATATTATTATAATAATCTAAATTAATATTAAAAAAATAAAAAATTATAAATATTAATAAGAGTAATTTTAATATTAAGCGCTTCGTTATAATAATAATAAGATTTCTAAAAATAGTTTTTTAGATAACTTAAAGTCTAATTAATATAATCTTATTAATTTTAATTTTAAATAAATAATTAAGTAATATAAGACTATATAACTTTAAGTAGATTAGTTTTTATAAAAGATATTATTTATCTTTTAATCGCGCTTTCTAAATTAGCTTTAATTAGTTAAATTCTTTTATTATATTTAGAATATTTCGATTATTTTAATTAAATAAAAGAATATTTAAATTATATTTTAAGAAAGATATATAGATATTAACTTTTATTATAATTATAATATATTTAATTAAGAGAATAATAAGAAAAGGCGAGTAATTATCGATATTATATACTCGTTATTTAATCTAAATATTAAACTTATCTTATAATTCTATATTAAATATATTTTTAAAATCTTAATTATAAGATTATATAAGTATTATAATTTTTTTAATAATATTATTAAGATAAAGAAATAATTATTAGAATTATTAATTATAAATAAAGTTAAAGATCTTTATAATTTTAATTATATTATAATTTAGTATATAATTAATATCTAACTTTATATTATCGATATTTAAATTATTTAATTCTTTAATTAAAAAAAAATATCTTTTATAAATATTAGAATTTCGAACTTTAAATTAATTATATTAAAGATTTATTTATATATAATAATCTCGATTTATTAACTTAATAATAGAATATTATAATCTTTTAAATATTAATATATTAATTATATAAAATAATATTATAGAAGATATATTTAAATATTATAAGCTAATTTCTATATTAGATAAGCTATTATATCTTATAATAATTATTAATTATTTTTTAATATAATTTAGATAAATTATTAATTTAATATAAAGTTAATAAGAGATATAGTTAGAAGATTTAATAGAATATTTATAAGCTTAATTCTCTAAAAAAGATTAATTAATATCTTACTACTTTTATATTTAATTAAAAAGATTTAGCGAAAACGATTAAGTATTTCTTTATTAAAAGTAATATTTTTATTAAGAATATCTAAAAAATACTTCGAGATATAGTATCTTATAAGTAGCTTTATATCTTAATAATTAATATCTTATTAATTTTTTATCTTAAGAATCTTATCGATATTACTCTTAATATAAAATTATATTTATTAAATAATTTTAAAATAGAATTAAAAGATAGAATTTAAAATAAATAGTAATTAGATAATAATAATATTAAATTATTAAATAAGAGATAAGAGTTTTATTATTAATAGTCTAGAGTTTATAATTCCCTCGATAAATAATTTAAATATTTAATCTTACTCTAATCTACTTAATTAATAATATTATTTATATTTATAAATTAAAGTAATAGAGTAATAATAATAATTAATATTAAGCTTCTTAGTCGACTTTATTATATATTTAAACTTATTATAATAATTTTTATTATATATTAATATCGCTATTATCTAAAATCTTATACTTATTAATATTTATTTATTTAATATATTATTATATATAGAATTTATAGATATTATCTATAGATAATATATACGATAATACGTTAACTAATAATAGTCTTAAAGATCTTTTTACTTATTACTATTCTTATCTCTCTATTTAATAATCTCTTTTTATATATTTATTTAGAATTTTTTATAATAAAGCTTTTATATATATTAGTTTTAAATAATATATATAATATAAATAATTAATAAGAATTAATTAATATAAGTTATTATCGTATTTAATCTAATTACTCTTCTATTCTTTATATTTATTTAACTCTCTTTATAATTTAATTTTATATAAATATTATTTATAGATAAAAGTTATATTAAGATTTAAGCTATCTATATTAATATAATTTCTTATATTATTATTTATCTTTCTTTTACTTTATTATAATAATTATTATTTCTTTTTCTTTTAATTAACTCTAACTCTAATTCTATACTCGTTTTAACGCCTTTATAGTCTTATTTTATATTATCTATTTTAGATATATCGACTTTAGTCTTTTCGCTATTATAGTATTATTTAACTATCTTATCTTTTTATAATATTATATTATAACTATTATAAATCTAGTTTATAAAATCTAAATTATATTATATAGACTTTATAATATATAAGTAACGCGCGATATAGTTAATAAGTCTTATTAAAGACTAAGTAAAATTTAAATAAAAATTAGAAAATATATTAAAAGAACGTAAGCTATTAAAAAAGTTATTATTAAAGAAATTTACTAATAAATCTTATAATAGAGAATCTTCGATAGCGTTTTTCTCTTATTTAGAAGCTTCTTTTTAACGATATTTAGAATCTAATACGCGTTAAGAGACTTTAAAATAGAGTAATAAAGAATAAATAGAAAAGGAAAATGTGTTTTAGAAGGTAGTATCGCTAAGTTAAGAGGAGTATATAGAGAAGAATATATTCGTTTAGACTCTTTTAAAGAGTTTTTTAACGCGTTTATAAGTAGTAGTAAATAGCTATTAGACTCGCTTACGGTCTTAATTATTAATAATAGCAAATTCGCTAAGAAGTAATTTAAGAATATTAGTAGAGGCTCTAAGAGACGAGTAAAGAGATATATATATCTTAGATATTAAGTAATCTTTAAACGAGGGATATCGAAGACGATTATATTTATATTAATAAAATTAATAGAATTAATAGAATAATAAAAGAAGAATAATTATATAAATAGATAAAAGAATTATTATTCGATTTCGAACGCGTCTAGTATAACTATTATAACTATTATATTTAAATATTTATTTAATTTACTAATAGTAGATTAAACTTTATTATTTTTATAGCGTTAGAAAGCGTATACTAAGCTCTATAATTTACGAAATTATAAAGTAATAATATTCTTAGAGAAATAGTTATTTTAGAGTATAAAACTTCTATATATAAATTTTTAATAAGAAAGATATAGAAGAACTATTAAGCTAACTTAGTTAATCTAATTAAAAAGCGTATAGAACTTAAATTAATAATTAACTATATATATAAATTTAAGATTTTTAAGCTTAATTCTATCTTATTCTAGTATATATACTAATTAAATCTAAGTAAAAATTTAAATTAACGCGATTTTATTTATAGATAATATCTATTATTATTCTTTATCTTTTATTTTACTTTATTATATATTACTTCTACTTTCTTTATCTAATTATTAATTTAATATTAATTCTTTTTAAAACTTTTATTTCTTTTATTTCTTTTTAAATTATATATTATATAATCTATCTTTTTTAATTTTTTAATTATTTAATATCTTTTCTTATATTTTTAAAGATTCTCTATTACTCGAAAATATATTTAATTTACTTAATTCGTTAAAAATATAGCGAGAAAAGATATCTTAAATATTAAAGATAAAGTAAAGAAAATCTCGATTCTCATTATATTAATAAAGTTTTTTAAGTCTTTTAAGTTTAAACTTATAAATTACTTAAAAAAGATAATAGAGAAAATATTAGAATAAAAATATTAGAAAGAATAATTTATAACTAATAAGAATCTACGAGATATTTTTATTTTAAATATTAATAAGCTTTTTATAAGCGAGTAATTATTATTAAAATATTTTAAATTAAATTAAGTTTAAACTTTACTATCTTTATAGATAATAAAATTAATAAAAAAAATTTAATTAGTATATATAAAAGAATAAGGTAGGGCTGAACTAGAAAATCTTGAATTTATATATGCAGCCAATT